GTGGCGTTGTTCTAAATTTAACCCCGTTAGTTGCACAAAGTTACACAAAATTGAACATTTTTATTGGTCAGTTTCTTGTCACGTGATAAAAGATCGTTGCCAAAAATTTGAAACAATTGTCAAGTTAAGATTTCTGGCACCATATATATTTTTTATTTTTAAAAATATATTATTATATTAATAATTTTATTAATATATAAACTTTAACTTAAATATATATATTAATTTTTTTATATAAAAAATACTCTTGTTATAATAAATTAGTTAATTAAATCTTTTAAAATAGCCTTATAGTGAAGTTGAGAACTAAAATATACAGTTTATTATAATAAGAGTTGACTATAATGTTGTATATAAATAAACTAATACAGTAAATATAATATAATATAATATTAATATAATATTTTATATTTATATATTCAATAAAAATTAATTTAATATTAAAATTATTATTAATTAAATTTAAAATTGTATAGGTATTTTAATATATTATAATATATCAATAAATAAAATAATATATTTTATTAATAAATCTATAAATATTATATTAATTTTATAAAAATAATAAAAATTACTTAATTTTATTATGTTAAAAATAATTAAATTAATAACTTATTATATATAATAAAATAATTAATAAATTTTTGATTATATAAGTATACTTATAAAGAAGGTATAATTATATAGAGATGTGACTATATAGAAGGTCGACTATATTAAAATAAATATTAATATAATAATTATTAAATATCATTTGAAATTTGTATTTTTTATTAAATTTAATTAAGATATTTTAAATTTATTTAATATAATAAAATAAATATTATTTTATTAATTTCAGAAATATATATTTTAATATTAATTATATTTACTTATTATATTAAATAATAAGTTATAAAAAATTTATTATAAAATATAAAGAAATTATATATTATTTTTATTAATTGATTTTAATATAAAATATTTAATTAACTTTATGAAGAAATTTATTTAATTATTCTCAAATATTTTCCAATTAAAATAAATATTCATTTCATAAAAACTAGTAATTTATATTATTTAAAATAAATGATTTTATAAATAAAATTACATAATATATATAAATTTTAGTTATTATATAAAAAATAATAAGTCTATAAATATTTAATAATCCTTTTAATTGTTTTGTCTACAAATTTATAAGTAATTATATTTAATCATTAAAATTATTTTAATTATTTTTAAATATTTTTAAAATATGTTATTAAAAAATTAATATATTTATAATAAATTATATAATGTAAAAATTAAAAAAAAAATGTAATTAACTAATGATTTTTTAAAAATAAATATATAAATTATTATTATTAAAAAATTAAAATTTTTTAAACTCATATATCTTGTTATTTATCAAAATCTCAAAAATATAATAATATTATTATTTAATAGAACTTAATAAAATGAAATCAATAAAATAAATGATATTTTAAATAATTATTACATAATAGGTTATTTAAAATTAAAAATTTATATATGTTAATAATTATTAATTTTAAAAATTTAAAAATATTACTATTTTAATATGAAAAATTTAATAAACTTTATTTTATTTTTTTATTTAAGTTTCTAAAATGTATTTAAATATTATAAAGAATAATAATTTTTTCAAAGTTTTCAATTTGTTTCTTTAATTATAAAAATTTTGACACCATTTTCTTTGATTTCATTCAAATATAAATTACTGCTAGTCTTGTTTCTTTTAAACCAAAAAGAACCGGGTGGAGATTTAATTCCCAAATATTTTAAAGTTTTTCTTCTTTTCATATAATCAAGGATCTTTTCGAGAATTTCACATTTCATATAAAAATTACAATTTAAAGTGATCAAATTAACTTTACAATTCATTAAAAAAATTTCCACATTTTCTGGAGTGATGTGATTATTATCATTAATACCTGCATGATTGAAAAGCTTTTCTTCTAACGTAAAACTATTTAATGATTCAGGTAAATGATTAGCTAACCTTTGCAAAATACAAACGTAATTATCATTAAATAATAAACTATCTTCAAGGTAAATAGTGAGACTTTCAATTTTCATATTTTTAAGATATTTATAAGATGAGAAGGAAAAATGTTTACAACTAATTTTTAAAATTTTAAGGTTTAAACAATTAAAAGAAATTTGTCGGATAACAAAATGTGAAACTTTATGAAGTGATAATTTGTATAATGATTCACTAAAATGTTGAATGAGAGGAAAATACATTGAGGAATAATCATCGTCATGTAAAATCAGCTCCCTTATTTTTAAAGAATTTCTAGACAAAATCCTATTGGCTTCTAAATTCCAATTTTTACAATTGATAATTTCTAATTTTTCTAGATTTTCACAAATTGCCATTGATCTTAAAACGTCTAAATTTACGTTATTAATAATATTTTCCAAATGCATAGAAGTGAGGGTATGTTTCTTCGATTTTATGATTTTTGAGATATAATTCAATAAATTATCATTCGGATATGATAAACTAAGGCACTTCAAATTTCTTTGATTCTTAATTAAAATTTCAATTAATCCTTGTAAAGCAGCATTATAAGAAAAATCAATTGTCGTGATTTTTAATTCTTTGATGTTATGGCAATCTTTCGTCACGAGTGAAATAAAATTATGAAATAATTCTTCCTTTGATTCATTCATATCTTGAAAAGTGAATATTATATGTAAGGAAGATAAATTTAAATAATTTGGCCTTATTACTTTAAACAATCGCACGTTAAAAAGTGAAGCATCAAGTAGATTTGATTGAATATGTAATTCTCTACAATTTTTCACCTTTCGTATAAATAAATGAAAAAGTGTTTCTTTTAACAATAATATTTTATCGTCATCCAATTGATTAAGGTGTTCATCATGATTCAAATTTGTTGCGCCTTCATTCAAAAAGTCGAGTTGGTAAATGAGCCAACATTCTACGATATAAGTTAAATCTGGAATTATTTCCAAATATTTTACATAATCAAAAAGAGAAATAGAATTTTCTGAAATTTCTATAGAATGGTTTTGTAAAAAAACCTTTTCTTCTTTATCAAGACAAGTGAGAAAAGTATTTATTAAGCAATAAGATCGCTTGAAATCGTTTACATCGGAAAATGGATTTTGATAAAGGATAGGTATAATAATTTTACATAAAAGTCGATTTACGAAAAGACAATTGTAAAGCGTTTCCACATCTTCAATATATTTAATAATATCATAAAAGCAATCATCGGGAAATGGAAGTAACGCCATCGAAAAATTTTTATTTCAGAAAGAGCATGGGGTTTAAGCCAAAACATGTAACACAAGCTTGTTGCACGAATGATTTATGAATGAGCATTGTGAGACATTGCTAACATTTATATGGATTTCATTAAAACATACTTTCTAACATATGAGAAAATACATCTTTTTCATAAATATTGAGTTCATCATATTTATCATTACCGCACTTGGCATTAATAATTTCACGTTGACCTTTTTGTTTTTGAAATTTACCACGGTCTTCCAAACCTTCATTTCCTATCAGTTTCCCGATACTTTCCTATTAAAATGAAAAGTGAATTGTAACGAATGGGCATAAAGCCATAAATTAGGAAAAGAATTAACCTTGACTGATCCCGTAATTTGATCTTGAGTTCCATGAAAGTACGAAGGATTTTCAAACCTTCTTGAAGAGTCGGCACTTGGTGATACTTGTGTTGTGGTTGGCATTTCGGTGCTTGGATTTACATCCTTTTCTAATGTATATATCGTCCCATCATGAAATTTACATATTTTAATTATTTTTAACCCGATCGTAAAAAGGTTGATCTTACCTTTACTCTCCTTTCGTATTTGCGACATAATATTTTTTCCTGTCACAAAAAATCGGGGAATAAATGCTTTTATATACAAACAATATTAAGTTATTACATAAATAAACTAGTTTATTGAAATCACTGTCATAAAATGAATATTTAGAGATGGCGTTTATCACATGCCATGAATCATAACCAATAATTTCATCACGATTTCAAAGAAACTCGAGCTATTGTTCTAGGCCATCGCTGGATCGGTCGATTCTCTTTATCGTGGAAAAATGCTGCGGATTTGTAAACATCTTTGGATGAGCTAATCTTTACCAGCGTACTGAACATCTTGTTCTCGAATCACATGATTAAGAAATTATTACGATCACGTGAAAGTAGGAAACTCCTGGAAATATTTTTTTCACATGTTGCAGATTAATACATGCACCAAAAAAAAAAAAAAAAAATTTACCCCAATTTTTTTCAATATTTGTCACATTTTAAAAGCCGATGATGATCATTGGCTAATCATTTTAGCTTCACCAATAAACTTAATTCCTAAACATAATAACAATAAATAGACGCATTCACGCAAAAAAATTTTCATCCTGATAAAATGCCTCTCATGAACAAGCTTGCAAACATTTCTTTAAATAATATTCATACATTATATAATGAAACCCTTTGACTAAGAGTGAAGATTTCACCATAGTTGTAAACTGAGATATAAGAAAATGAAGTGGTGATATCACGACATTTTATCAAATTCTCAATAATATAATTAATGATTTGGTTTCTTGGCTTAAACATGCTCCTTTAACCAATATCAATGTGCAAGAATTCATTGTCCTCATTGAATTAAGAATTAATTTCCATCATTGTTAATTCTTATTTCTATAGATTAATATGAGAAAAGCATAAAAGATGATATTTGCACATTCCCTATTTTCGTCTCCTCAGGAGACTACACTACTAAGCTTGTGGGGGGTTATTAACAAGCATAGTGTAATTGATCTCGTTATATATGGCGTGTTATACTGGTGATATAGTTCGTTCATGTTGTAAGTTTTAAACACATTTGTTTATTATTTTCAAAAATTGTGACCAAATAGCTTCATTTTATAATTTTTTTTCTGAGATTAGATTTAAATTAGAAGTTTTATTAATAATAAACCTATCTAATTGTAATAAACTAAAATTTTTAGACGTTGGATATACAATTTATCTTTGACTTTATTCATTCAAAATCTTTTATTTACAACTTTAACATTAATTTAAAATATAGTTCATGTTATTCTAACTATTAGATTATATTTTGGAAATAATTAAATTAATTAGAAAGCAAAGTATTTAGATAGATTCTTACTTGAACTTTCATCATCATCTTTCAATTTGAATTATTAATGTTCAATTTTTTTTTTTTTTTTACACTATCAATATTACAATAAAGCGTGAACATTACAAATATCAAATAAGTTTCCAAATGTGGCGCAGTAATAAATCCTGATCCTTCTGGAAAATTGCATTGGAGGTTAAAATTAAATTAGAATATTGTCCATTCTTGCATCTAAAGAAGAATGAAAAAGAAAATATAAAAACCTCCAAATAACTCATCTAATTTTATCTATGAGTTAATATACGAAATGGAATTTTTACTTTCTTTTTACCAATCTAAAGATGCTTGTTCTTTTTTGCCATCAATCATTGACCCGCGATATAAATCTTTAATTATTTTTCCTTCATTTATCGTTTTTTCAATTATCATCGGAACATGACAAGGAGTTACGCGGCCATACCATATGCCATGGCCATCTCGATATACAATGACATTTCCGGCAAATTGATGTCCTGGTTATAAAAATAATGTTAGCGATTTCTTATATATATATATATATATATATTTTTTTAAAAAAAAAAAAAAAGATAAATATTTCTTACCTCCAACATGACTCGTGAGATAAACCGGAACACCTTTATTTCCGGTAGAATCCAAATCCATCCGTTTTTCCTTTAAGACCTTTTCAAATTCCTTTTTCAAAATAGGTCCAGCAACCCCGCATCTTATATCACGACTTTTGTGTCCGCAAATTAATATTACGGATTTATAACTAATGTTTTCAACAGTAAATCCGGTTTTTAAAATTTCTTTATCATCCAACTTTTTATTTGATAAAAATCGATCATAAAATTCTTTAGCTTTTCCGGTTGTAACATTGCGCACCATTAAATTATCGGGGTATATTAAAATATCATTACCCCAAAATGAAAGCCATGTCAAAAATGATAAAGTGGAATTCTGTCTATCGCTATTCGTAATTAATATTTTATTTTCCTCTTGTTTGACTTCTTTTTTTCGTTGTTTTTGCTGTTGATAATTATACAATTCCGCCGAAAGGTTCCCGGAATCCAATTCAATTATTTTATTCCAATTTGATTTTCCTGTTGAAATTATTACATGACGGATATGTGGCTGGACAGTATCATGTAGATTTGCCTCACGATTAATTTTTAAATTAGAAGGGTAAGAAGGATGAATTGAACATGGAGATTGACAAGAGAAACATGGATTTTCCGATGAGATTTCTTCAATAGAAATTATAGGATCTTCCGATGATGAAGAAGAAAGATTTGTAAAAGAATTTGTAGGGGTAGGACTTAAAGAAGAGTTGTTGCTCATTGATAAATTTGACATTTTTCTGTTGTAAGTGTTTGTAGAAGTATTTTCCACAGAAGACGGTGGTGATGTTGATACAGATTGCATAGCGCAATGAAAATTATTCATCATGTTATGAAAATTAGCAGGGATAAAACTTTTATATTTAGATCTTTGTAAATGTCTAAGAATCATGGCGAAAAAGAAAGAGAAAAAAAAAAAAAAAAAAAAAAAAAAAAATGTTATACAATATTTATACAAAAGGCTTCGATATCAAAAAAAAAAAAAAAAATGTTACGTCAGTTTGCAGATAAAGGTCCGGAAATTACCGATCATATTGAAAATTAAGCCATTTCATGGAAAATTAAGAAAAAAATCAAGCCATTTATTCTATTTAATGGACGAATTGCATTTTTTTTATCATAGGGTCCCTTCACATGATTATTCACTGAACTCGATGATCCCCCATGTGATGCGTTAAATTCCCCTATTTGCCATACTTTCCAAAAAATTCATATTACGAATAAGAACTTGATTGAACAAGTCAAATCACGTTATCAAAGGTAAAAAATATTTAATAAATATTTACTCTCATGGAAAAACCTGATGTTTAAATTTAACGGCCGGCGTAGTATTTCTTAATCCTATAATTTAAGAAATATTGGTGACATCGAACAAAAATTTTATTTTTGATCGACATATGGGGGATTGTAATATATAGATAGTTACACACAAAATTTCAAAAATATTTTTCCTAAATGTTTGTTGCGGGGTAAAACCCTAAACCCATTTTGGCAAAGTCAAAACTTTTCTGACAGTTTCGATCAGTTTCGATAACAACTAGATGGAATAGAGGTAATTATTACAAAATAATATTTAAATCCGGTTATCAGATTTATCAAATGATCGATTTTCACAAAAAATTCTCAGCGTGATAATGGCCCTAATATTAAATTAGCTAGGCAAAGTTTTATTAATAATCATGTAATTTAATTGCAAAAAGATATATTGATAATTTAATTTGCTGATCAAATTAGAGGTTGGAACCGGCCGAAAATTCTTTAACCTAATAACCGGTTAAAATTAACTTTGGCCAGTATTATAAATTTGGCCAGAGTTAGACAATATTTTGTCAATCATAAAAATCTTAATTCTGGCCGGAAATTGAATTTCGGCCGGATTTAAATTCATCTATTTTAACCGGTTAAAAAAAATCTTTAACCGGTTAACATGTTAACCGTTTTAACCGGTTAATTAACCGGTTAAAAATTAACCGGTTCCAACCTCTAGATCTATATATGTTAAGTATATATTATTTTTTATTTTATTTTAAATGTGAAATTATAATTACATATAATATTAAAGAATGTAATTTAAAACTTATTCAAAAATCTGATAGATAACTACAAGTATAATTTGCTTAGAATATATAAATGAGGTAATTATTTATTATTAATTTTAAAGTTGTGGGCGAAACCAAAATTTTGAAGTCGAAATGTTTCGGCTTCCAAAGACTAAAATCCGAAACTTTCCGATAAGCCGAAACTAAGACGAAATTGGCGAAACTCCTCAGATCATGTGATATAAATAGTTAACCAATCAAAATAAATGTCGATTTAATTTTTTATACCGAATATTAAAGTTACTTTAACATTTCGTTTAAACTTTAACACTTATGATTGTATGTAATTGTGCGATAAAAATGAAGCGCATAAAAAAGGAATACAAAAAGGAGACTTTTTTCGTGTTTTCTTTTCTTTTTAAAAAAAAAGAGAAAAAGAGTTTTTTGTATTTTTCTTTGAGAGAAACAAGTGTTTTTCTTGTATTTTTTTTTTTTTAAAATGTCTTTTGCTGAAGAATCTCCACCTATAGATATATCACATAATGAAACACCACCTATATCAAAAAATAAAGGAGGCAAGCCGGGTTGGTTTGGTTAAGGTAGCAAAGAAGTTTAACGAAATTAGTCCTTCGCGTTGGCGTGCAGAATGTCTTTCATATCATATTATTTGGCCCAAAGGTTCACCTCAAGAAATTGAAATACATTTAGCTTTTGAGTGTCAGAAAGCTAAACCTTCAGTTAGAGATTTTTTTTTACAACAATTGGCGGTTAAAACCATCGATCAAGATTCAACTGAAACAAATATACATAAAAAAAGAAAAAGATATGATGGTACTAGACAAAAAAAAATTAC